TAGCGGCACATCTGTATAAACACGTTATCTGTGATCTAGCCAAGCGCCCAACACAGTGCAAAGGTAAAGGTTAGCTTAAAAAGCTAATAAAGCGGTGCCTACATTAAATATTATCAAGTTTAATGTATATTTTTAATGCTTGAATCCAGAATTAGAAAACATGATTCATGCATATTTAACAGCATATGTCCTATATAAAGTATTTTACTTATTTGTGCTAAATTTTAGAATCCTATTCTACAGTATGGTTTTGTTCCCACATCAACGAACCTCACGGTTCGTCGTATGTTTTTTTTTTCTATAAACATCAATCTTATCAATTTTAATTTTTATACTCATTCACGAAAGTGAATCAGTATATTGGTTTTGTGCAATGTCCGTCTTGCTGTCCGTCCGTCTGTCCGTCTGTCCGTCTGTCCGTATGAACGCAATCTATTTCGGCGCTATTGAAGCTAGAGACTTGAAATTTGGAACACATACTCGTGTATATCTCCGATTTATAAAGTGTTAAAATTTTCCCGATCCGCCCACTAGGGGCGTGGCAAATCGGAAAATGCATTTTCCGATATACCAGAAATCATGTTTGTTGAAGAGCTAGAAAGCTGAAATTTGGTATGTAGGTCCGCGTTGACCACCCAAGATCACGAGCTATGGCGGATATATCTACGCCCATTAGGGGCGTGGCAAATCGGATAAAACTGTATCTCCTAAAGTTGTAAACCTAGAATGCTGAAATTTTGCACGTCAGCTAATGGTATGATTCTATAAAGTCTGAAGATAAATTATAAGTCTACGCCCATTGGGGGCGTGGCAAATCGGACCTGAAGATATAGTGATTTTTTAAATTCTCCTATATTTTGGACACTATTGATGGCAGAGACCTCAAATTTTGTATATATACTCGGACTGATCACCCAAGACCAAAAAGTTTTGTCGGATATATGTCCGCCCACTGGGGGCGTGGCAAACCGCAAAAGTTTATATCTCCTAAAGTATAATAGCTAGAAGCTTCAAATTTGGATAGTTGAGTTACTGGTAGCCTCCTCTATCGATTCCCCAAAAATAATTTTTACGCCTCTTTAGGGGCATGGCATATCGAAAAATACCCTGTAATTTTCACATTTTTTGAGAGTAAGCATTCAAACTTTGCAGTTAGGGTACTGTTATCTCTTTCTAAAAACTGACTAAAAATGAGGTATCTACGCCCAGTTGGGGCGTGGCAAATCGGAAAAACCTGTATATTCTACAGTATTAGAGCGAAACTTAACTACTAAATTGTTGATGGGATGTGAATGAGTATTCCGCAGTCGGTAACGCCCCGACTGCAACGTTCTTACTTGTTTTTATTTTTTTTTATTTTTATCAATTCACCATATAATTCTTGAGTCTGAAGGATTAGTCACCCATCTAAGAAGATAGTTTGAAAATACGTTTGCCATATAGAGATAAGACTTGTACATAAAATAATTAGATATCTTGTACATTGAATATAAATAAAAATGATTATAAATATATATAACGATATATTTTACAATATAGATAAAGATATTTTTATAGATATTTATATATATATATATATATATATATATATATATATATATATATATATATATGTACATATATAAATATAGATATATATAGAAGTTCACATTAGGGGCATTCGCTATAGCAGTAGGGTGCCCCACTGTTATTGTTAACAGTGACTAATGCATTTTTAGAGCTAAATCATTAATACAATTTCAATTTTGACAACCAGGAAGTCAAAACAAATTTGATTGCAATTCAACAAGTAATTAATGTATAACAAATAATTGCTCAGAGAGCACTGAGAACCGTAACGAAAACTGACTTTATAAGCCAAGTCTTCCCTGAAGACTCTTTGCGAAATTCGTTGTTGTTACCGCCGTTCACTTTATTATTTTGGTCAAAACAATTACGAATGTTGCGTGAAAAATTAATAGAATGGAAAATATTATTAGCTGTATGTGAGTTGGGTAATTCAATGTGCAACAGCTGCTCTTGTTATTGTTATTATTATTATTATTATTAATATAATTGTTATGTCTATTGTGTCTGAACTGTTTTTGGCCATAAAGCAAACTCCTTGAGCGCAAAAGCTAGACCAGGTTTATCATTAAAATAAAACCCCTTTAAAAATAAGTGTGAAGGTTAATGCAACAATTGTTAGCTGACTAATAAAAAGCAAATGTTTTAAATCTTGCATGTTTGTAGCTGTGGCCAAGAAAGTCTAGTTTAACTAGACTTTCTGAGACCCCAGATACGTGCTATAATTATCGAGTCTCGTTATCGTCTTCGCAAGCAAGAAAGCCGTGCAAATAAAGAGCACACATAGATAACAGTGAATCGGATATAATATTGAATTAATGAAATTCTTGACTGAGTGAAGGTGTGCTCTGATATTTATACAAAAACGTGTTACAATTTGCAACAGGTGTGGGGCCGAGCGGTCTGGGGGGCGGGTCGGAGCGAGGCAACTTTTGCTAGTTTACTCAGCAACAAGGTGAAAACTCTGTCGATAGCAACTCTTGTAGATCTCACTTTTTTTTTTTGTGTCTTCAGAACGTGACAAAAGACATGACAACAACAATGACAATAACTAAAAATTGGTTGGAAAACCAGTTTAGAGAGACAGTCAAAACAGTAAACAGTTAAACGTAAAATAAAAACCCAGACAAAAGTAAAAAAAAAAAAAAAACAAAGAAAAGCAAGCATGAATCATAGACAACGGAGGTCGAAACTTTTTCGACACGAACTTTAAAATACTCTAGAAAAGAACTTACAAAAATGAATAAAATTCTGCTACAGGAATAAACAAACTTTTATATATTTATCAATCAATTTTAACATTAAATTGGCGTTCTCAGATGTTAACAAACAGTTGGAAAAATATACATATATGTACATGTATTATACACATATACATATTTATGTATGTTAAGATTACAGATTATTTATTTAAGACAACTTTGTATAGTTTAATGAAACTAAAACAATTTTAATTTGAATATATTACAAACGACATGTCCAAACTGAAATGGCCATTGGCAGAGCATTCAACAGAAAAAAGCCACAGCAAAAATTGATATGCAAAGGGCGTGAAACTCGCAAGTACCGCTCCCCCACCTACGGCTACTGTCCACGCCCCTCTCCAAAAGCGACAGAAGGTATTTTTTAATTAGTTAAGGAGTTGGGGCGGCGGTTGAACTGTGTGCGTTTGGGCGTGACAGGCGAGGCAGCCGAGCAAAAAGTGAAATTCGTAGCTTAAGTTGGATGCGGTTTGGGCCACTCTGCGCTTTAAAAGAAGTGCGTAGCCAAGGCCAACATAGAGCAGATGCAAACGACGTCAGCAGGATGCTGACCAGGCGCAATATAGGAAATCATGTTAGCTGGGCCAAAATGCCAAATGCAACACATAGTCAACGCGGGTCGCGGTCGTCGAGAGTTCCGGAAACGAAACCAAACCAACATAAAAAGTAGGTCAACTCTGCGAGCCGAGCGTGCGCAGGGCCAACGGACATTTGCGGACGAGGGGGACATTTATACACAGGGGCGGAGGGTGAGGGTGTCCGGGCGGTGAACCGACTTTTAGCCAGGCAACAATGACGCTCGTCACAGCAACCAAAACTAGATCAAGGCCAGAATCGCAGCAGCAACGAGTGCATTATGGTGTGAATCAATAGGGGTGGGGGCTGGTACAGCGCTGCCATAAATAAGCCTAAGCCCAATTTAAAATAGACAGCACCCTAGAAACAAGTTATCTTCAAATGGCTAGGACACCCGCTGAAAGCTGTTACATGCAATAAGACAATTTCCAGATTTTACGAGAAAAAAAAGGGGAACAACTACCGAACACTGAGTATGGAACCGTTAGACAGTTAGTCCTTCAACGTTTGGCAGCATGTCGAGCGTCTGACTGGGTGTGGGCTAGTGTCTCAACAGGATTTTTGTTACTCACCCGCTGCAAAATGCAATGGCGTCGATTTACGTCCAGCTGTGTCGCGTGCATTAACCGTTTGTGGTGTTATCAACTTCTTTACTTTGGCTATTTCACCTGTTTTACAGGCCTCGAAAAGCTCACGCAACGGATCGTTGGCCATGACCGTATCGAGATTAACATTTAACATAGCTCGACTGCGACTGGTCATTGTGATAAGTGTGGTTGTTGCTGGTGCTGTTGCTGCTGTTGTTGTTGTTAACTTGGCTTGCACTGCTCCACTTCTTGACTTTTGTTTTGTTTACACGCAGCGTAACTGAACAGCAGCTGTGACCGCTGCGCCCCGAAATTAATATGCGTTATACTTAGTATCTAAGTCTGCACCCAAAAACAGATGCTATGTCTAGTTGGCCTAACTCGAGTTCATGTTTGTGCAGCTGTGTAACATTCACTGGCCATTTTTTTGCTGCTGCTCCACTCTAACACACACACACAAATACACAGACGAACACACGGACACGGTGGTAGGCGATGTGGAAACACTTGGCCCCAGAGGGAGCAACAATTGTAGTTGCTGTTCCCGTCGGCAGAACTACACTGAGTAGTTTTATATTCTATGTGGTACACACTAAATCAATATAAATTGTGTGAAAACAATTTGCTTTTACAAGTGTTGCGCTATTACTGCGCTAGTTGCAATTGTTTTCCTTCAACTCGCGAAGAGAATTGTTGATATTCTATCGATATATAGTATCCAAAATACTAGTTATCGATGAGCAATCTGATATTTTCAATTGGTATGTATACACTGGATATGCAAGCTATTTTGATTATGCGATATATCGACATTTTATTTATTTATTTATTTTTTTTTATTAACTGTAATTAAGCTAATAACAATAATATTTAAACATTTAATCGAAGATATTATTTAATTAACTTTGATTTTGTAGACACATAATTATATTTTTCAATTTAACTGCGCGCCAAACGAATACAGGTGCATATCGGACTCAGCACATTTGTCTGCCCTGGTTTTATGTCTGTGCTGCCCTGTTACAGGTATCGAGTACAAGTGCATGCCAACAACAATGCGCGCATTGTGCATTTGTTTTTCGCTTTAAAAAACAATAAAAATTGTACATATCGTGCGTGCACAATATATGTAAACTGACTGTAGGGTGCATATAACAGTGAACAATAATGGGTGCCGAGAGACAATAATATTAATAAGTGAAAAACAAACAAAAAGTGAATCAGAACACACGCACACATATTCAAAGCAAAGCATATACTGGCACACACGTACATACACCTGCAACCCGCAACACCCGCTCGCTCTAAAACCAGAAATAAGTGCAAGTGAAGCAGCAGCGACGGCCACAAACAGACAGCATAAGCAATTGGGGAAAAATAGCTGCAGCAAAGCAGAAAGAAAGGGAACAAACGTGACAACGAGAAGCAAAAGTGGAAGTGCAGCTCCACCCCCAATTTGGTACTGCAGCAGCAGCAGCAACAGCAACATCAACAACATCAGTCACATTCGAGCCATGGCGCAGCTCTATCAACAATAAAACAACAACAGCAACGAGGCGCACGCTTCGCTGCCCTCGCGACAGCATTTCAAGCTTCGTCGGCGCTGCGCTGCGTTTGGAAATAATTAGACTCCACTTTAGTAGCAATTTTCTGGCAGCAGCAGCAGCAACAAAAGAACAAAAAAGAAAAAGAAAAAAATCGAAAACAAAAATTAATTAATTTCATATATCCAAAATGGAGCTGAAAGTTTGGGTTGAGGGCATACAGCGTATTGTTTGTGGTGTAACGGTAAACACGACCTGCCAGGTACGTATTAAGCATATTGATTTTAATACCCTTGCCAAAAGTGTAATATAATTGTGTCGATCAATATGAAACGTGCGCAGTTCTTACAAAGTATATATTCAAATAATATAACTGGTTCGACTAGCTGTCTGCTTATTAATAAATTAGTCGCTTAGCTTTTAATCCGTATTGACATATTTTAATTAGCGAATAAGGCCATGCTCTTGCAAGGGTATTAAATGGTAGATAATTGTGTTTTTTCGTATATATACAATATATGCCAGCAACTCTATCTAATTGATGTATGTCTTTCCTTGCAGGATGTCGTTTTTGCCTTGGCTCATGCCACAGGCAAAGTGGGTCGCTTTACGCTAATCGAACGCTGGCGCAATAATGAGCGACATCTTGCGCCCAATGAGAATCCGATGAAGCTGCTGCTCAAATGGGGCGAGTATGCAAATGATGTGCAATTTATATTGCAGCGATCCGAGAACAAGCAGCAACAACAGCAGCAGCCCACGCCACAGCAACAGCAGCAACAACAACAACAACAACAACAGCAGCAGTCTAATAACAACTATGCAGTCATGACTACAAAAAAGCCGCTGGGCCCCAGCAATAACAACAACAGTATTGAGAGCAAATTGCCGCCGCCGCCACCATTACAGAAACAAAAGTCGAGCGTAGAACTGGGATATCGAACAAAAGAGCTGAAAAAAAGTTTTGGGTGCGTACTGACAAAAGGTTAAAGCGATACTGTGAGAAGCATACTGAGAGAATATGTAGAAATCTGTGAACCTTCTTAAACTGTACATAAAGACAGCTCTCTGTTTTTAAGCACGTCAGACTCTCAGAGTGCTTAAAAACAGAGTGTTCGTATTTCAGAGAAATGTCGCTACAACTATTGATTTTAGAATTCTACTGATTACCAAATTCACAACTTACTCATACTCATTAGAAAAACAACTAAACAATTATCAAATTAGACCTTAGCAATCTCAGCTATTACAAACTAGTTTTGCTCGCATGTTTAATCGTGTATTTAATTTTTACAGCGGCTATGATGCCAAACAATTCGACAACATTGGCATAGTTAAAGGCATACCACAGCAGCAGCAGCAGCAACAGCTACAACAACAGCAGCAGCAACAATTGCTGCCGCAATCCAACAAAGCGGTGCCATTACTGCCCAAGCATGAGAAATCTCTCTCAAATCCATTGGACATGAGCAGTAGTAGCAGCAGCAATGCGAACGCTTCAAATGATTACACCGATTTCTACAACAACAATAACAACAACAACATCAATGCCAACAACAACAACAATCAACACATTTACAGTCAGCTGAGCAAATCCAGCAATGAACTGCGACGCGCTAGTCCGAATGAATATATCAACAGCAACAGCAACAACAACAACAACAATAGGAATGAGCATCTATGCGATATTTATGTCAATAGCAACATTAGCAGCAACAACAACAATAACAATAACAACTCACCAGAGCTGTACAAGCAAACGCCCACGATTTCATCAAATGGTGCCCTGGTGCCACCGCCTTATCGTGATCCTCCGCCACCTCGCAACAGTCCCATGTGCCAGATGCCTCGCTTGCCACCCAGCAGCAGCGCTGCTGAGACCATATCCAATACATCCTCTACAACAAATCCATTTCTCAGCGACTACGAGGCGCACAGCAACAACAACAACAACAATAATAATAACAATGCGAGTCATCAGTGCATGGATGAGGGCGAGAGCATGTTTCAAGCCACGCAATATAATGATCTGTTGCAGTTAATCAAGTTTCAGCGCGAGAAAATTACCGCACAACAATTGGAGCTGCAAAAGGTTCTAGACAACATAACTAACTATAAGCATAGGTTACTAAACTCTAATTCTAATTACAGTTTGATTCGGAAATCGTTTTTCTGGAGAGCAGAGAGCGTGATCATGCGATTGAATTGGAAGTCATATCAAGAGAAATATCTAAAGCGGATCAAATATTTCGTCAAGGCAGCGAACAGTTGCAAACACTGCAATATGTTGAGGAAGAGAACGAACTGGTCAAGCAGCAGGAGAAGACGCTTAAGTCAGAAATCGCATTGCTTCGCTCCAAGCTGGCTAATTGTGAGACTGAACTGCTGCAGTGCAAAAACAAAATGCGTTTGCTGATGGACGACATTGAACTGGAACAGCAGCAGCAGAACAACAGGTAAGAAAATTGTAGAGATCATGGGGGAAATGCAGTAATACATATATATATCCTATAGACAAACTGTGGAACGTGACTTCCTTATGGAAATGGAGCGAATACAAAGTGATATTGATCAGGCACTGCACAACACGGACACATCGAACAAAACGGCTGATAATCTCAAAAAGGAGTTGCTCATGATAGAGCATGCCATTGCCGACAAGAAGCGACAGGTGGAGCAGCTTGTCAACGAAATGAAGGAGGTAAATCTACAAAGCCTGACCGTAACCACCACCGAGGAGATCAAGCATCTGCTTGAAGGACCCAACAAACAGGGCAGTAGTCGTCGCATTATCGGCTCACCGCGACAGTTGGAGACGGCTGTGCCCACCAGCAAGAACCCTCACGGAGTTTGGGTTTAAGCGACAGCATAAACATTGAAATGCAACGAAATATTTTTTACACTCAAACAATTTGGGGGAACAAAAGACAAAAGATAAGGAAATGATTCACATATCTATTATGCATGCAGCGCGAACTCTAAATATATATTTATATATAAATATCACAATATTTGCAAAGGACACAAATTTACAACGATAAAGTGCATATTTTTCTTCGAAAACAAAAACAAATTAATGAAATGAAAACAAAAACACCTTATGGATCTCTTCAAGCAATGTTAATTGTTACAAATTTTTAGACACAGCCCACACAATAATATTTTATTAGTGCACAAACAAATTTCGCAAAACTTTTATAACGTTCATTTAACTAGATGAATTTTAAGATAATCACATGCCCACAAATTTATGTTTATAATTTAATTGTACTTAATCTTTTGTGCTATAACTAATGAATCGTTTAACTTTTAACTTTGAAACATACTTAATGAATAGAACATATTATGTTGCTAGTCTATAAAATTTATTTCAATCATTCTCCATACGCCATTAGATATCGAAAATTGTTGCAATAATTGAATCTAAACGAAACTGTAAAACACGCCTTGATTTAACATTTAAGTTGTGCTGTTAGTGATTGATAACCCATTCCATTCTAAATAGAATTATATTTATAATTATTATTAAATATGTACTTAGCACTTAGCGCAGCTTTAGCAAAGGAACAAATTAGCAATTGCTTTGTTGTCAACTGTTTCCGCGTGGAAAGTGTTTAGAAAACGCTTAACTATAGTCGAAAATTGCGAAATGTGTTAAACAATTAGTACTTAACGCATATTTGTAGCTTTTTTTGCAAAATGCATTCCGATTTTATATAATTATAGAAACATTCAATATTAAAAGAAAACATTTATAGCAAAAGCATTTTTTGCTTAGGGCTATGTCACAGCAATATACATACTATATGTTTATAATACATAAGTAAATAACTAATAATTCAACTAAAGACACAAAAATTTTAGAACAAATTCTAATTGCATTATAACTATTAGCTAATAAATAAAACAGTTTTTATAATTTGATTTGTTCGCTCTTCAAAGGCTCGAAAACAAAACAAGAAATACTGCATTCGTTTTTATTAAGTGGATGGCGGGGCAGTTGCCTAATATTGAAGGACTCTGCATAAACTGGAACGTAAATTTCTTCTATTATTAAATGTAGCTGCGTTTCGTCCCATTCTGCTGCCCATTCCTGCCCCAGGTCGCTTGTCACAATACGAATACGCCGCGACGGTCAGTATAGACCGAACAGGACACGAAGCAAGGACTTCGCTGCAGCAGCAACAGTAGCAGCAGCAGCCGCCGGAGCTAAACAAAATCAGCAACAATTGCTGTTGTCTGTTTCAGTTGCCCGCTGTGCGCGGACTTGTTTAGTCCTGTCTTATCCTTGTCTTGTCTATTTGTAAGTTGACACGCGTCAACAAACCGAGCTCGCGTTTCGCGTGCGTTTTAAAACGCGCCGACCTCTTGCAGTGCGTGTTTTGCCGCTCAATTGAACTGTCGCCCGGCAGGGTTCCTCGCTTTTACTTTTTTCCGGCGTCTATCGCATTGACACCATCTTGAAATGTGCGTTTTGACTTGGTCAAAAGCATTAAGTGGCCGCAGGCAACAAAATAAAATAAAAATAAATATAAAACGAGGAGAATAGAGGAAAAACCTAGAATATAATAAGCCAAAGAAAAGTAAAACGAGGGGCATAGACACACACACACACTCACACTCAAATAAAGGAAAATCTTACGTTTTTACGGCATTTTCCACACCAAATGCTGTTCAATTGTGATGATTGCGATAATGAGACAACATTTTGGCATACGTTTGGGCCGAGTATCGACCTTTTGCGGAAATTATGATCTGTCTATATGGGGAGCCCTGGCCATGCGCCTATTGATAAGGCGGCAAACATTTCTTTACTTACTTTTTGTGAACTGAATTTCATCAAGCGAACCAAGTGGACAAAAACAGTTTAAATTGAGACTCGATAATGAGTATACCATATTATACAAAATAAATAGCTTTTCTAGTTTTTATGAAATTTTATAATTTATTCAGCTACTGCTCTTAAATTCGGCTATATATTTATTTCCGTTTTCTATTTAAATTGCTCTCACATGCTCGAAATGATTTTATGTTCTTGACAAGTCTCAATCTGTTTGGTGAGGCCATTAAAATTTTTTTTTTTTTTCATCTCTTAAGAGTTGTCTCTGAATTGTCAACATTTTAACTGCCTGTTGACATATTTTTATTTGATGATATATGTTGTCCTTTATGTTTAAGTATCCCTATACGCCCTCGCCTTTGCTTCTATTTTCCTCTCTTTTTTTTTTTTTTTTTTTTTTTTTTTTTTTTGTGCAAGCGCAGAGAAAATAAATTGATATAAAATGTTGACATAGGAGAATCTAATAATTCCAATCGGATTAAAAAGTGCCTGCAGCTTAGCAAATTTTTTAATTTTCAGACAGATTAGATATGTTAAGCTTCAATTAAAACATAACAAAGAACGCAGTCTCTTTCATTGGGAAAACTTAAAGGAAAAGATTTCGAGGTCAGCGAAATAGACAGCTCCCGAAATAGACTAGCTACTACTGCATGCTAATATAAAACTTATTAAACCACTTCAAGTGTTAAATATTGAAGACCCAGCATAATATTTACAGGCAACATCTATGCAAATTTCAATTAGCTCAATGAAGTGGCAAAAACTGCGGTGAAGACGCGCGAGTCCTAATAGTGTGAGCTATGGCAATATTACTTCGCAACGTACAAAATATGAACTCCGCCCAGGCTGAGCCAAAACAATTCCAGTCATTTAATTAACCAGTAAAAATACAAAATTCATAGTAATAAAAAAAATAAAATAATCAAAAAGGAAGAAACCCACCGTATTTAAATAATAAATAATAGTTTTCGAAATGGTTTACGGACGGAGCATAGCTGTTGGCATTGGCTTTATCACAATTGTTTTGCTTCTATCGGGTCTTGTCTTCTACCTAAGTTTGGGTAAGTAAAAATGACTGCAATGCATAAAAGCGAAATTCGGCTATATAATAGGTAAAGGACACAATATAGGTAAATTGTAAAGAAAAGTCCGCTGGGTCCAAGTAGGACTCCTATAATTTAGTTAGATTCAAAATTATTAATTACTTTATATATAATATAGATATAGATATCATTTAGCATCTATTGATTCCTTATTTAATTTGTGTAACTGAATATAAATACTAATTTAACGAATCTTGTCCTTTGACACATTTTGTTACATCACAATAATGTTTGAAATTGCCTAATGAAATCTCCTGGGTCAACATCTTAGACTTTAATGTCATGCTCTTGTAAAATCTTTTCTTTTCTAATTTTAATCAATGAAAAATAAGCAGACTGTAAAAAGTTTTAAATGGAATGCTTTTTGCCCTAAACTTTATAAACTATCTATTGATTTCTATTCTATTTTGACATAAACCTAAATCAAATGACAGAAATGCGGCTCAGCTCTCGCATGTAGCACATAAATTGAAGCGCTCTAAAGTATTCAAAAGTAATTTGTGAACTTATAGGGTATAAACAAAACAAAAAAAAAAAAAAAAAAAAAATCTTCCATAAAAAACAACCAAAAATCGCAAATACAATCTTTCCCAACGAGCAAAAACAATTTTCACATTTATTTTACAAGCGTCTGCTGCCTGTTTCTGGGCTGTATTTTGTTTTATGTGAATAAACATTTTCACAATTTCCACATTTTCACAATTTTTGCATCGTGTTGGCAGATTTTCGTATGGCCACAGCCAATTTGCCTATTGATTTGCCATAGCGAGAGACGAAACGTTTGATGAATGTCATATTTTGGCTTAACGTGGCGTCTGTGTACTTTATTAGGGACCATTATCAGGGATATACGAATTATTATATTAAATCAGCTGATCCCTCTGACTGGCTGCTGCGAGTTAAGCCCGAGTCAGACAAATAGCCAAATGCCGCCTAGATTTGTATTTATGCGCTCTAGCTGCTGGCGCAAAGTGAAAATGAAATGAAAAGTGTTTGCAACTAATGCATAGCGCGTGCCTAGCACACACATACGCGCACACATACACATATATATATAGGATCAGGTTCAAGGATATAACAGCTGTTATGCTCAGCGAAACCTATCCACAGTGACGCAATTTGATTTGATTGTTGTGCAAAAAGTTGTCATTAATTAAATGAAAATCTCCCCAATGATTGTGCAGATTCGACGGAAAAGGGCACAACAGGAATAAAAGGATATGCATAGGAAAGTTGCACAAACTATTAAGTTAATTTATTGAAAGCAAAATTAATGAATGAAACTATGTTCATAAAATCCACAGCCAAAGAAAGTAGAAAATCGCAATTTGTTTAAATTGTCGTCACAGATTATAAATATATGCTTAAGTTAGCTATGTTACATAGTTCAGTTCATTTTATAGATTTTAGAAAATTTAATTTAAATTTTAACTATAAATTAACTCCTACAACAATTTCCATATTTAAAAATTATTATCTCTATGTATATTTCAGCTTAAAAGGAATTTGAAATATATATATAGGGCAAGCTTATTCTATACAACTATATTTGGCTAGAATACAATTTTTAGAAATTTTTAAAATAAATATAAAAACTGTAGGTTGTTAATGTACCATTTTTAACTTTATATCGCCATTATTTCGCATTCTCAATTTTCAATATATAAAATTATTTTCAATTCCCAATGGTTATTAGGGCACAAAATTCATAATAATTAAATTTGATTGCACGGCAAAAACTTCCAATAGGTGCTCAGCGAGCTCATCAAATTGCTGATGACTTTTGTTAGTCATTCACTAAAAACGGCAGAAGGAGCATAAATATGTGAAAGTGCCGCTGAAATGGCCAATTCTGATGACAAATAAGTGTGAAGCGAGAGCATCTAAGCAAATGCTAATTAATACACGAACTTTAGCATTGCATTACATGAAATTTTAATGCAGGCAAGAAGAGAACAAAGCTGCGAGCAAAATATAAGTAAAAGCAATCAAAAGTTTTTTGTACATTAATTTTAATTGATTTGTTGTTTTATGTGACTTTTGTGAACTCCGAAAGCAATTCTTTAGAGATGAGTGAATGTGAACAAAACAAGTTCCGCATCCAGTTGTGAGATTACTCATTTGTGTGGCCAACGTGACGTATGAGTAATACAAGAATATGAAGCGCGTTACAAATAAAATGCAAGACTCAATATGTGTCGATTCAGGTCAATCTACTTCTCCAATATTGTGCTGCGCGTTATTAATTATTTTTCTCCTTATTTGTGTTTTTGTTATCAAGGACCTTGCCCCACGGGCAGCTTTGCGTGCAACAATGGCATACAGTGCGTGCCGCAGCGTCAGATGTGCGACAAGCATCTCGATTGTACGGATGGGAGCGATGAGAATCCGGTCGAGTGCGGCAATCTGTACGGCAGCAAGGAGCTTGCTGATAAAATTGTACGTAATGCTATTGAAAAGAAGAAGCAGCAACAGCAGCAACAGCAGCAGCAGCTGCAAATACAGCAACAACAGCGCCCAGCCATAGTTGGCACCAACTCCAGCGTCTGGGATTTGTCATCGCTGGCGGTCAGCAGAAATCAAAGCCTTGTCATACCCTGCGGTACGTAGTCCACTGAATAGAGCTAAATCCGCTTAAAGTTCATTCAGCCAGAAAGGAAATCTAGAATGAGCTTATGTATGCTAAAGTAACTTAATATGCTGCAATCAGCTTTATTAAGAATTCTATTTAAACGTAATTTTGTTTAATCAAATTTCTTTTATTAACACTTGTATTTTAATTAATATTTTACTGTCTATAATTTTTTGAAACTTTTCTTTAAATATAAAATGAAAATCTACTAAATATTGTATAAGATTGATATTTAAACACAAATGTTGTTTGCTAAATTAAATATAAAATATTGTAAAATACATTTATTTTTGGTGTTACGAATTTCAGCACATATTATAGTTATAGTTAATATTTCAGCTGGA